AGTATTCTTTTATGCAACTTCCAATCCCTATCAATGAAGTGGGCTGTCAAACACATATAATTTATTCTTTGTAATGAAGTCCAAGTGTCTGTTGTTAGGCAAATTTTTGGTTGTGCTTCTCTAAAAGAACTTCTTAGATTTTGCCTCAATTCACCGTAAACTTCATAACAATTCCTTGTTATTGTTCTACGAGAAGGAAGACGAAATAGTGGTTGAGTTTTTCTCATAAACTTCATAAAGCCTTCATTTTCTACAAAGCTAAATGGTAGTTCATCAGTAACTATCATCTCAATTAAGGCCCTCCTAACCACTTTTTGATCAAATTTCCAAATTGATCCTTCATCATTTTGGCAAGATTGAAAATTTATCTTTGTTTGACTATTATCTTCTGCAATTTTAAGTGGGTATTCTTTGCATCTAAGCAAATGATTCTTCAATCCTGTTGTTCCATTCTTAGATGAATTAGCAGCATAAGCTTGTTTACAATATCGACACCGTGCTTTCCCAACCCCATTAACCTCAAATTTATCAAAATGGTTCCAAACGCCAGACCTAGGTTGCATTGCTTTCCTTTTCTTGGAATCTTGTGTATCAATGGTGTTGGTATTACTATCTACCGTAATAGGTAAACTTTCACTAGAACCAACATCACTTACTTTACTTGTATCTTCCATCTATACAAAATAAATATAAATATAAATGAACAATCAACAAATTAACTAGAAGACAACATAATACAAATATACATAAAAGGTTTCAATGACTATTATTCAACAAATGATCTTGGGTTAAAGAATAAGAGAGTGACTAAATCTTTTCTTGAAATTCTAGAAGACAACATAATAGAAGATATTGTATTTCATGGTTTTCAAAGAGAGCAGTCTGCTATTGTTAGTTGCTCTGCTCATATGGTAAAGTTCTAAAAATCAGACCTAAGAAAAAGTAATCATATGGTAAGCCTAACACATAGTCGTGACTCGTGTACTCACAACTGTTATTATACAAGCAAATGAATTAAACAGCATGAACGTGATACAAATGATATTTTCCTACTAAAGGGAAAAGCTCGGAACAACAGTTCATTCAATCAGCAGTACAACCAAAAGAAAGCGAAACATACCTTTGAAATTGAAATTGAATCGAGCTCGGAACACTGGAACAGGACAACAGCGTCTTCGACACTTCGTTTGCCCGGAATTTGTGAGGAGTGAGGAATCGAATCGAGCTGGAAATCGCCGCCTATGATATTTTCCTACACTGGAAGTCTGGAACAGTATACTTCGTTTGATGCAGAAAATCAGACCATTATAATTTATAGGCCCATGCGGAAACTCAAAAGTCAAAACTTAAGTAGTCATAGACCGGTGAAGATGAGATGAGACTTACAAAACGTAGACTGATATCCTAAGCAGTCGATTCTCGTCTAGACTCGCAGACTGATAAGTGATATCCTAGACTCGCAGTCGTCCAGTCGATGACTCGATTCTCGTCTTCTTCTTCTCGATGATATCTCCTACAGTCTTAAGCACTGATGAAGAGTGAAGAGTGAAGTCTGAAGCATTTAAGCAAGGCAGCACCGCAACAAGCCCTAATGGCTAATGCCTTATGCCCTACTTTGATGAGAAATTGAGAATGCCTAATTTGATTCAAGACTTGGGTCTTGGGTTGGGACGTTGGGTATTAACTATTAAGTATTAACTGTTGACTTGGGTTATTAATTGGGCTTGGGTTGGGAGTTGAGGGATCTGGGCCTGGGTGGGAGTGGGATGCTGGGGATGGGCGATGGGGCTGGCCGCATGGGCCTATAATTGGGCTTAGTAGCTTGAATATTTTCGGTATTTCGGTTTACCAAAATTGTAGAATTATAAAACCGAAAACCGAACCGAAATACCGAATTAGACCGAAAAACCGGAAAAATCGAAACCGAAATACCAAATTAATTTGGTTCAGTTCGGAATTCGGTTTTTCGGATTTTATGCCCGCCCCTAGGAAAAAGGCAAAGCGATTTCTTGCTTTAGCAAAAGGGTCAGCATAAGACCATTGGCCAATTTCCTCAAAGAAACACACACATAGAAATACATCGGCATCGCCCCAATCTCCAAGAACGGGCCTCCTATCCAAGAACGATCTGCCCTTCCTTATCACTAGCTATCACTACTACTTATCTACTGTGCAATTCCATTATTCTATGATAAAGTCACGTAACTCAATACCAAAGGAAATGTCCTTAAGCTCCATTGAAGGTTCAGTTCTCTTGCTTTTGTTTTCATTTTTAATAATAAATATCATGCTTAATCTACCTCTCTAGAATATTTAAATAATTTTTGAAAATTCACTTCTTTGAAACTTAGCTCTGGGTGTTGCTAGCCTATTCTCTTAATTATTTATTGATTTCATTTGTGTTTGTCAAGTTATTCCTTGTAAAATTGAAAAAAAATGCCGTGGACTTCACCTCTCCTGATGAGCTGCTCATTTAGTTCATTTTTTGTTTTTTTATATGAGTTTGAGTTCCTTAAATGATTTATTCCTTTATTTGATATTTGTGCTTATGGATCATTGTTTATAATCTGATTTGGATGTCATTGAGTCGTGGGGTGCTAGAAGTTGGAACGGGTTTTGGATTTTGTTAATGAATTGATTTCTATAGAAGTGTTAATTAACTGTAAGGTCCCCTTCTTTAATAAATTTGAAGTGGGTCCAAACGCCAACAAGGCTACGGGCGAGCCTACATTTCCATAATCAATCACCTCACAACAAATCTCGAAATAGCTTAGAAAGAACAACTTAGGAACTTTCGTAGTTGCTTTAGGCGCGTTGTTTTAATAATTTACCTTCCTAAACTCTGGTGTGCATTTATGTGACCCAAATCCAAATCTCAACAATGTTATATAGAGTATGTCGAGAGCCACGGGTGCATTTATGTGACGTGGTTCAAGACCTATTTTAAATGACGTTGTAATTTTTCCTTAAAATTAAATAAAAGCGGTTATAAAGTTGACATTTAACCATAGGCTAAAACATGTATTAAAATCAGATAATAAGCCAATTATAACAGTTGAGCGACCGTGCTAGAACCACGGAATCCGGGAATGCCTAACACCTTCTCCCGGGTTAACAAAATTCCTTACCCGGATTTCTGTGTTCGCAGACTGTAATACAGAATCAACCTTTTCCTCGATTTGGGATTTGAACTGCTGACTTGGGACACCATAAAATTATCCCAAGTGGCGACTCTGAATTTTAAATTAAATAATCCCGTTTCGATTGTCACTTAAATTGGAAAAAACTCCCTTATACACCCATTTTTAGGGGTGTAGGTAAAAAGGAGGTGTGACAGGTGGTCAATTGATGGGTACTTGAAACTAAGGCTCTATTAATACGATTGGAAAGTATGATATAACCGTTGCACTACTTTACCCACTTTATACCTCTCGATGGTTCAAGGGAAAGAGAGGCGAATAGAAAAAATGAAACAGAAGATCCACAACATGCCATCCACATGATCATGAGAGGAATCGACATCCCACAGGAACCCATTATCAAACGAACAAAAATATCCATCACTAGGGAAAAGTGAACTCGACTTTACATACCCGAGGACGCTCTCAAATTCAGCGAAGAGGACATCGAGGCCCTGTCCCATCCTGATAACGACGCATTGGTAATTTCTTTTCTTGTGAATAAATTTCTAATTAAACGTATGCTTGTGGATCCAGGTAGCTCGGCCAACATTATCAGGTCGAGAGTGGTGGAGGAGCTTGGACTGCTCGACTAGATCGTGCCCGCCTCTCGAGTCCTCAATGAATTCAACATGGCGAGCAAGACAAAGAAAGGGGAGATCACCCACCCGGTCAACGTGGCCAGCACAACCCAAAATTTCAAGTTCCATGCCATCAAAGGGGACATGAGGTACAATGCCCTGCTCGGAAGGCCATGGATACACTGCATGAGAGCAGTACCATCAAACCTTCATCAAATAATGAAGTTTCCAACGAAGGATGGAATAAAAACAATATATGGGGAGCGGCATGCAATAAGAGACATGTTCGCAGTACACGATGTATCCCCGACATCGACACCTTTAACATCGAAGGAACCAAAAGATAAGAAAATAGCAAAGTAGCAATCACAAGCTACATTCTCGGCTGCACCCGAGTGAATGAGCAAAAGACCGTACTGCATCCCCAGAGCAAGCAGTTGAAGCATATCCAGGCTCGAAACCCCATCACTACTAAGGTATAACCACCTCCCTTTTCATTTACGTCTTATACTAACCTGTGTGCAGGTGTCCGGTTAGAAAAATCGAAGCACCTTCCAACTTGAAGACCTTGGGTTTTAAAGCATGTGTTGCACTCTTTTCGTTCGATCGGATTTTATCCCAAGAAGGTTTTACCGGCAAGGTTTTTAACGAAGCAACGTCTATATGCTACCTAAGAAGAACTTACCAAGTATTCAAGGCTTCTCTTCAAGAAACCTCGAATACTGGGAGGCATCCCACTGGAGAAATAAAGATGAGCCAAAGAAGGTCTCGATAGAAAAATGATGTATCGGGCCAAATGGTCAAACGAACCGTGTCCGAAAAGAATGATCGAATCCTCGACGATGTAAACATGTATATTTGTACTAAGTAATCAAAGGAGTATCTTTACCATCAAAACACTTTAAAGAAGTTTGCTATATTTACAAGAAACAACTCCAGGGCTAGAAATTTCCCGAGCACTTGGGAACTGATATCAAAAACTCGAAACCGTAAGACCTCTAGGCCGGAAACTTAGAGCTCATAATCCCTAAATGAGACAACATCAAGTTTACAAGGAACGTCTCCAGAGCCAAAAAATGTTTGATGACTCGGGGACTCTCACTGACTGTCACCCTATCGAGCTACCAAAACTCAAGGCCATAAGACCCCAAGCGGGCAACCTCGAGCCCGAAAGCCCTCCATGTGGAAATACTAGAAGGTGTAAAACCTCCATGAGGCAACCTCAGGCTCATAATACCTCCATGAGGCAACCTTGAGCTCATAAGACCTCCATAAGGCAACACCAAATATGTAAGACCTCAAGCAAGGCATGAATTATACTTGTACCAGGTAACCTATCTGTAAGACCTCAAGCAAGGCATGAATTATACTTGTGCGAAGTAACCTATCTATAAGACCTCAAGTGAGGCATGTTCAAATTTATAAGACTTTACAAAATTCATAATCTCGATCTTAAAGTCAAGGATATATATTCGAACTTGTAAGACCCCTAAAAAGACATACCCTCAATATAGACGCCGAGGCTACCTCACTCGGGGACTAAAAGGCTACGGCCAGACACAATGGCTACTGTCAAACTAATGCGACTCGGGGACGCTCGACCGTTTCCATAAAATCACAGGCCTTCAATTACTTCCAAAACACTTCAAAAAGAACCGGTTAATTAGGATACCCTTGGCATAAGCAAAAGAGCTTCGATCATATTAGCTCCAAATAATAAAAAGTCTTTGAGACAATTCAGTCATCGAGCGAAACCTCCCGAGTTGCTCATTTATCGTTACATAATGGCTCACAATTGAGGTTCTTATCGAACCATCGAAAAGTCGGACGGACACAAAAATTTCAAAAAGTCTTTATCGAGGGAAAAATAAAGCTATATTAGAGGTTGTATCGACCCAATGCCTAAGAGCCTAAGCGCCAACCCATATTAGATGTCATGTCGACCCAACTCGTAAGAGCCTAAGTGCCAGCCTATATTAGAGGTCGTACCGACCCAACATGTAAGAGCCTAAGTGGTATCCAATTTTAGAGATCGTAAACCGAACGTGTAAGAGCCTAAGAGCCTGCTTAAAATTCAAAAACTTAAGGGTCGATGAGCCCGAGTTGAAACCTGACTCGAAGATTGAGCCCAAAACAGTTAACTAAAAAGCGCCTAAGGGTAAATGCGTAAGAGCCTACGGGCCAGCCTAATAAGCCTCAAGGCCGATTTGTAAACCTAAGGGTTGTACCTTGAAGGCCAATTCATCTGGTTAATCACTGACAAACGTCAAAATTCAAGACAAAGAAAGACATACACAAGCAAAGAAAAATTCATGAAAGGGGAAATCGAAATGCTCCTTTTATATGTATATGTGATATAATACAAGGCCTCATTTACAAAGTTCTCTAAGAGCGTTATACGTAGAATCGGGAAGGAAAGGCCTAGTCTTATTTTCCCTCAGGGATTGCGGCCCATCGACCTCTTTCTCAATATCTTCGACATCGGATACAAGGAACTTGGCATCATATTCATTCGCCTTGGTCTCCTCTATCTCTTCCGAGAGATCGAAGCCCCTAGCGTGGATCTCCTTGAGGGTTTCCCTCCAGGATTTACACCCGGCATATTCATTGCTCCCGCTATCCCGATCGAAAGCCCCTCTCAACTCAGCTCAAGCGTCGGCAGTGTCTTTTAAATAAACGGCCACTTTCTTATCAGCCTTAGCT